TACATCCACATATATATTATATAGCGTGTACAAGGGAAACGGCAATAAAACATCCGGATACAATGGCGTGTGTAATCGAAGCGAGTACAAGTTTATCATACACCTGTACCTATTACTACTGCTGCAGCGAAGTGAGAAAAAAAATTACGAGCAGAAAAACGGACCTTCMYGCCCACTATAAAKATTTCGTCGCATTTTTAGAAAACCGCGTATATAATATAATACGTCATGCACAATAATAATAAGCCACGCGTACCACGTATACACATCATCATAATTCATATGTATACGAATTACTCTATATCATTCTTTATTATATAATATATATTAATATATGTACCTGGTTGCATATACCTACACCATATGATGGCGCACTGTGGTAAGCGGGGAACTTTGGACAGATTATTTTCCATCGCATACAGTACCCACCTATGATATAACAATAACTTTAATATGTAATATGTAAAACGTATTTGAAAATTTTGAATTGTATATCTACCGCAATAACGTGTCGAGCGAACAACGCGCATGTTAATATGAATATATTATTGTTACAGTGCCAGGTACCTATACATGTGACACACACACACACACACACACACACACACACACATATACATATACACACACACACACACACACACACACACACACACAGTCTAGTCTTCCCCGCTCGGCCGTTTCGCAAAAGTCTACCTTACAATAACTATACATATACGATTTATATATATTGTTATAATACAAGACGAGACCGTTGCCGACCCTCACCACCAGGGCATCGTCAATCGTCATCATCATCATCGACACCGCCGCCGCCGACACAACTGCTGTTGCTTGAGTCGCGCGTCTAGTCCGCGAGAGTTGTTACAAAGCGTYATAGTGGTCTCGACAACTCTGGTTTTTTTTTCTTTTTTTTTTTCCATCATATTTTCTTTGCTCCACGCCGTCGTGTCACSGACCAGTGACCATTGACTGTCCTCAAAAATCATCTTTCCACCATAATTATTTATCTTCAMCTCTTATTTTTACCCACTCCGAGTCCGCCGCCACCGCGGCGTCTTCGCGCGTTTGCGTGTGAGTGTAAATCTGCGTGTGTGTGCGTGTGTAGCAGTACGCTTTTCGGCACCACACGCCGCCACCACCTCCGCTTAACACGGTAAAACGCGCGCCAACATACGGACCGTGCGTCGGTGCCAAAACGACATCGTCAACAACAATAACAACAACAACAACAATAGCAACAAAAACGACGTTGACGACGACAAGAACGACCTCGTCAACACGGACGGTAGCTTTTGCTTTTGAGCGCGCTGGCCCTTGCGCCAGTCATGTCGGCCAGCGGACGTTGTTGAACGGATCGACAGACGGCCGTCACCGCTCGCGCACTTCCATTTGGCAGCACCTCCCCCCCGGAAGGTAAGCACTGAGCGGGGCCGTCGCCGTACGTGTATTCGCAGGTCTAAAATACGACGCACTCGTTTTTCACGGTCGCCTGCTCGCCGACATCGAATTTTTGATTTCCCGTCTCCTTTGTCCTCTCTCGTCCTCGTTGTTTCCTATCGTTTGCCGGTGGTGGTCTGCGYATGTTATTCCAAAGGAAGTCCGTTGGTCAGTCGCCTTCCATCGCGTCACTGTGCCTCGGAACAATGAAAACCATGCGCACACCTCTGTGCTTGCGATTCGAGTCCACTGAGTATAGTTATAGTATAGTGTGTCGGTTTTGTATTTTACCGTTTTGATGTCGTTGCACGTCTCARAACARCATTGTTCTTGTGGTTGTAAGCTCACCGATTGACTAACTCTTGTTCATTTTGATTAGTAACATTTGTATTAAAGTACTCGATCAATGTATACAAGTATATTATTCGGTGTAGACCTGATGTTAAAATATTCTCTGTATTACTCTAAAACCGGCAAGTAACTATTTGATGGAAGTGGACATTTTGTCCATTATTACTGTATTATACCTACCTTGCTATTTTATATTTCCATATAAATTTGAGCAGACAATCAACATAATATGTAAATGATGAATTAAGAGATAATAGCTTTTGTACCTATGTGGAAAAATGTGATTTGAGATTTAAATTTTGAGTATGTAAGTTAAATGTGAATGTACCTACGTTTAAATGATTCAAAATGTATTGGTTGAAGCAATGGTTAAATCATAACAATTGAATTAAACTGATTTTTTCACACTTGATGGTGTTTTCAATTTTCTTTTAAATTATTTATTGCTCATTTATTATAGGTATACAGTATTCTATTATATTTCTGGGTTAGTTTAATTTAATGCAAATAAATGCAATAATATGCTAATAAAAGTTCATTAAAATATCTTGGCTTACCTAATACCTTTTTAAAAATTGTGTACAAAAATTAACCATCTTTTAATTGTTTTTAAATATGCTTCTCTATCTGATGTATTTGAGTTAATGTTKTATAAATTAATAAGTATCAACTCGTTTACCACTAAGATAATAATTTAATTATCACCTCGATTATCACTATATATTTACATCATTAGTTCATTACCTATTGCGGTTATTAAGCTATGCTTTGGTTATATAAAAATTTATAAAAATTTCATGCAACAAATGACAGATATTAAACCTTTCCTTTAATGGATTGTATTTTACAATTAATGTTGGTATATTGTTATTACTCAATTTTTAAGTAGCTGTTTTTCTAGTGTTAATCGCACTTCTATAAATTTGTCGGGTATTTATAATATAAAAAATAAGTATATGTTCATTTGCTTTTTATTTAAACTTCACAAATAGGTACAACATTTTGAACAATTATTATGGTTATAACTATTAAACTGTTGTCCTAATTTCTGATAAAAATTCATCAATATTATTGTATTAATTTTCACCGAACTAAATAAATAAGATCTCTGTAAACATTAAATATTGATTCAAGTTCATTGTTTTGAATAATATTGTTGTACAAAATAAGTTACTAATTTTAAGACATTAATTTACGAATCAGTTATTATTATTGCTGTATATTCATAACTTATGTATACCTAATAATACACAATTTAAATGATTTGAATTATCATAAAATAACTATTGACAAAACTCRAAAGAAAATTTTTGGTATCTGACCTCTTTAAAATATCAAACAGATATTTAAATTATATTAAATGTTTATTAACTTTGTGTTGTTGTAAACAACTTAAAAAAAAAATATTTTGTGTTTAATTYTAACAAAAAAAACTTATCAAATTGTGAACCAACTGTAGGTACTTACTGATGAACAATATATCTGTAGAGTGCACTTTTACTTATACTGACAATACCTTGACTATATCATATATATTTCAAGAAAAACACTAATTAGTTTTTTCTATTATAGTTACAGTATCTACTTGAAAAATTTGAATTAATAAAGATCATTATTATTGTATTGTATTATTTTTAAAATAAGGCAAATACATAGGYGCATACATAAATAATAAAAACTTGATTATAATAATTTATTATTATCGTTATTATTTTTTATTTTAATATATTATACTTATAAAATTTAGTGGGTAATTAAAGCAGACATTTTATTTGTGCATATAGATTTTATATGTACATARGTATACATAATTTAAACCTCTATGACAGACATAATTTAAAATATAGTACCTATTGTACTTTTATCATTTTGGTTAGCTTCTGTACAATTTTTGTTATTTTATAACTTTTAGTGGATACCTGAAAAACAATTTTACATAATTCAATTTGTTTAATCAAACTGGTTTTCAGGGAGGCTCACACTGTGTTTGCCTTTAAACAATCTCAATTAAATTTAAAATTTACATAACTGTATTACCTAATACTTATGAGAATAATAAAAGTATATTTGCATCAAATAACTCTAAAAAATTACCATTCTGTAACATAAAAACAAATTACAGAATTATAAGGTACCAAACACTACAACTTATACATAATTATTATATCACACTTAAATATTATGTAGTATTTAGTATCATTTGCTTATCATTAATTTGTCTTTAATTATAAAGCAATGTTTTATTCAGTTTTGAATATTAAATGAATATTATGAAAATAAAAATTTGAAATAAGTGGTACCTATAATAATAATATAATTTTAACTATAAATATATATATATATATTGGTTCTATTGATTTATTTTAATGGAGTTCTAGTGTTTAAATAATTTTCCATCTGTACTTCCTGATATTTCTCAAAAATTTTTAAATTTTTAAAATAAATCAAATATATTTACTAAAATATTTATTTGTGTTTTCTAGCAAGCTGAATATAAGACGTGTGCTTAGGCACATTACAAAGTTAACAACAGGCGCAACAGTGGCTACCGCGGCAGCAAGCAAATGTTTACACCACAACACCAACAGCTGTCGCCTAATCGGGCGTCAATCAACATGCAGTCGCCACAAGCCAGTAACCTATCGAGAGGTATATTTCAGAGAGGTGGGTTTGCGACCAACCCTGGAGCAGACAGGCGAAATCATATGCCGGGTATCGCATCACTCATGCAAGAATGGTTTGTCACAAATCCTWGAAAAAAAAACAAATGTATATGTATAATAGTTTGAAATGTATACATAATTTAATAAAGGAGTTCAACATCATTGGCGAATAACGCAATGAATAACTATGGTGGGTCAAGTTCTAGTAGCAGTCGATCTACGTCTGGCTACAACTTGTCTTCCCAGCATGGTTTTCATTCGGCATTTGGCAGCAACCATGTTGACAATGGCAATGCGGCACCTCCTATACTGGACCCGTCAGAGTTTCCTTCTCTCACCACTGGACGTATATCCGGCAGTGGGCAAGGAGACAATGTCGGTGTTCTACATTCCAGCACAATGCCTGCAGGAAAACCTTATGGTAAACATTCACCATTCAAATCATTTGATCAGCTGTTTAGTAGTGAGTTAAAATTCTGTATTTGTGTAGTTACTTAGTGATATAATTGTATAAACTATTAAGAGATACAATCTTATTTGATACTTTTTATTTATATTAATTGTGCTTTACTATTATAGTGGGAATGGTGAAAGCACCGACGTCTGAAACGAGTGAATTTACAATGAGTAGTAAAGACTTCCCTGCATTGCCTGGTACGCAACCTCTCAGTGTTACAACTACCTCGTCTACGACAACGGATCCAAATCAACAGTCCTCAACAACAACTTCTGGCTCGACGACCATTTCATTAGATCAGAATGGAATGCAATCGTCTACTGACCATCTGTCAGATCAGAGACTGAACAACCTGAATAGCCAATCGGACAATAATTCTCAAGAAAATGGAGATTCGGGAACTAAAAAAGGAGTGCAAACATCACCTGATGGTTTGTGTTATAAATCAATTGTGYTGTTTATCAAACTTAATTTAAAATKTWATATAGGTAAAGTGACTAACATACCTGGTAGTATGGTACGTGATCAATTTGGAATTGTTGGTCTATTGACATTTATCAGGGCAGCAGAATCGGATCCCAACTTGGTATCATTGGCTCTTGGACAAGATTTAACTGCACTAGGGCTGAACTTGAACTCACCTGAAAACATTTACCCAACTTTTGCTGGTCCTTGGGCAGATGCCCCATGTCGACCGCAAGACGTTGAATTCCATGGACCTCCTGAGTATATTATTAAYCATGGAATCAGGTAAAAAATATAAAAATAATTATGTATTCTCAGAATCTAATATTGTTTATTAATACACCTTAGGGATAAGTTAGCGCAAGTTAAGTTGTCTAGGTATAAAGAAGACCTGTTGTTCTACCTCTTTTATACCAATTATGGCGATGCGATACAATTGGCGGCGGCTAATGAATTGTAATTAAATTTGTTTTTCTGTATATTCTTCACATAGTAATATTAATATACCATTTAAATTGCATCAGGTACTCTCGAGACTGGCGTTATCATATGGAAGAGCGCGTATGGATTACGCAAGCGCCTGGATTGAGTTTAATAGAAAAAACTAGTACATATGAACGGGGCACGTATTATGTGTTTGATGCGCTCACGTGGCGCAAAGTGCCCAAGGAATTTCTGTTGGAGTACAGCAAGTTGGAAGGTCGACCCACCGTACCAAATGTGCCGCTCACCACCCCTAATCTACTCTGACACAACGAGCACCGTCGGGGCGTAGACGCACTGCCAACAGCGACCGAACCTGACGTACACCAGCCCACGACGGTCGTTCTCAATGCAGCCATCGTCAACTCCTAAAAACCCTTTCTCACTCCCAGTAACCTCCAAGTATATATGGAATACCTACAGAACAATACTTTCTGTCCCCTTTGCCCACAATACACTCCTACGAAATGAAATAAAAATTATACAAGTATTTATAATAACCGATAGATTTGCTGTCATTTTTTTCTGGTGAATACACTCCCACCATATTAATTTAACATTTATTATAAATAAAACAAAAGTTATTTATAGTCATTTTATAAAAGAAACTTACGTACAATTTTGTAAAGACAAAATAAGCAAAGATAAAAAAAAAAAAATCATTCTTCATTTATTAAGATTATGTTATTTGTTTTTAAGTTGATAAATAAAATTTTGAAACAATAAATAATTTGTTTTATTTTTTTTTCCGAAAATATGGAATGGTTTAGTAAAATGTTTACATATTCAGAACTAATTCAACCACAATATTAATAAGTAAAATGTTTTGTGCATGAATATTTCATATACCAACAGCAAAGGTTAATGGAAAACAAAAATAATTAAAATAAATCTATAGTTAAGTTTTATTGAAAATTTTATTTCTGTTTTACAAAAGTTCAGGCAAATATTTCCTGATAATTCCATCTCTGCATGCAGTGTAGAGAAACCTTGTATCTGTACTGACATCGTAGATTGGACCAGCATTAGCACCAGTCAAGTATGCTTTTTTGCCATTAACAGACCGTATTACACAGGAACCATCACCATGTCCGCAAACTACAAATTCTTTAAACAAGCAGAGACAATGGACTGGTGAATTGGTGTCAAATATGCAATATTTAATCACTAGTTGTTCATCAAGCCAAATAACACGTCCGTCATTACAACCAACATAAGTTTGTGCATCTTCATTCAAATGACAAACATTTACTGGACAGTCTAAGTTGTTTGAAGCAATTATCTTGCGTGCATACACTCCAATCAATGATATCATTCCATTTTCACAGCCAATTAGTAAACATTTATCATCTGTGCCGATTTCTATGTCAGCTGCAACAATAAATATGCTCAATTGTATTTTAAAAATCACCCCTATTTGGTCAATTATCTAATTTGTTAATGTTTATGATAAATAAATCAAAATTCATCTTTGTAAACAACGAAGACATTTTCATTAAAAAAATTTGACATTTATATTAATTGTGTTTATTATAAAAGTTATAAAACGGTTAAATGTTTAAGCTAAAATTAGAATGCCAAATTTTAGGGTGGGATCCAGCTAGAAAGAGCCTTAATATTTTTGGTTTGAAAATTGTCTAAAAAGAAAATTCAAAACAAAGAATTTGAATGCGTAAATAATTATATAAGAATAAATTGTTTTCAAGACGGTAAACCAATAATACCTATTAATATTCTAGTTATAAAAATGGATGGTCACAAAGTTTAACACTTTGTACTAGGTGCTTAATTTATATGCATATTAACTAATTGAAACGTTTAATTTTATATTTTTAAAGTATGTACATTAATTAATGGTAGGAATAAAGCTCAGGGGAAAAAAATTCTATTTTATAAAGACAATAGGCAATAGCTAATAAATACAAAATAAAAAGATATATTTAAAAAAAAAAATACTAATTATAAATCATAAAAAAAATGTCATTGAATCGTAGTTAATAATATTATTAAAAAATTATATATATTATACATATATCACTAACTTTGATTATAGGCGTGCGCAGACTTTATTCACAGGTTATGCGATAAGACAAATGGGGGCCCTCAAAATAAAAAAAAACCTTAAACCTATATTGCATCTATGACCATCTACATAATTTTATTAAATTTAAAAGAATAAATAATTTATTCTAAGAAACGGTTCTGAGCCATTAAACATTTTCTTTTACCACATATAGGACTCAATTTCAATCTAAGTTTTTTCAAATATACTACTTATACCTTCTTTGCTCTCTCAAATTTAAAAACACACATAATTTTACAGTAGAATATTAAACAATGCATTGTAGAGTAGTTTGAAATTTGAATTATATTTATTAAAACAAAATGTATTATTTCCTAAAAATAAAGCATATATTATATTCAGTGCTCAAATTGGGAAATTGAAAGGAAAGGAACTCAAGTATAAATTCAAAAACAGCATTCCAACTGAACATTTATTGAGTACCTACTAACCCGTGGGGGGCTTTGTCCCCCACACCTATTTAATTACTACCACAATATMACTATATTTTTATTAGTTTATATATTTTATTTCTGTAAATGTTAATATTTGAAAATAATAATAATCAGTTGAATAAAATAAAATTCTCCTCCAACACTTACGAGTTTATTTTATTTTTTACAGTACCTATTTAATATTTTATAAGATTGAATAAATATAGAATTAAAATATCCATTGGCATTTAATACCGTGTACCCGTGCGTTTTTTTAGAAAAATATAGTATGGGAACGCTATTTAAAATCAAAAGGTAGTATAGGAGCTGAGTTCCCATAAGCCCCCCCCCCCAAATCGAGCACTGATTATATTGAATGTCTTTAAATAATTTGTTGGTCACAAGAAAATTTAAAACTAAAAAAACATTTTTTTAAATACTATATAAGATATTATCAAAAAATGTATTGGTATAATAAACATGGGCCCTTCAAGTGAAGACGCAAACTATGCAACGGCTTACCCTGCATACTCTATGCCATGGTTTCCCAACCGGTGTGCCGCGAACTTACCATTTTAAACTGTTAATGTGCACAGTCTATGTGCACACACTGCACAACTATGAATTTGATAACTTGTCAGGAATATTTATACAAAATAGAAAAAATATATATATTTATAAAAAAAAACCATTGTATAAATTATTATCGCTGTAACTCAATATTTTAGGCWATAGCTTTTAAAAAATCTTGAAGACAAAGTTTTATTTAAAATGTTCCAAGTCTTACTAACTTTTTTCCCCCAAAACTTTCTGTTCCCCGCATTAATTATATTACTTACAAGCAGGTATATTTCGTTCTCCCAGATTTAAACTTTTTGTTGAACTTATTGAACAACAATTTATATGCGTTGTGTTATTTAGGTTAATGAGATCGTCTATAACTTTTCCACTCCCAACATGCCATAATTTTGATGTTCCATCTCTAAAAAATAGAAAAAAATGTTTTATTAAAGAAATTAAAATTATCACTTGATTTTAATAATATTTTTAAATACTTTGAAACTGATATTATATTTTTTCCTCTGTCTATAATATCTAGATCAGTAACAGCTTTTGTATGCCCTAGAAGTGTTTTAGCACATTCTCCAGTTTCAGCACTCCAAATTTTGATCCGTAAATCAGCCCCACAACTTAATATAACYTTTACACTAGGAAACCAACGACAACAATAAATATCACCATAATGTCCTGTCATTGTAACCTATAATTTCATTAATAAAAGTTAACAATGTTAGGAAATAAGAAATAACAATACAATCATTTTTATCTCAGATATTTTTGCCCTGRTTATTTTTATTGTTTACCCAATACTAAGCATCCACATTTTTCAAAAATAAAATAAGTTTTATTTAGCCTCACTTCTTTTTCTTTTTCATGATCTATGCTACTCCAAGACTTCAAAACACTATCTGAGGCAGACACACACAGGCCACCGACCACATCCAATGATGTCACCTATAATAAAACTGATGGTTTTAGCATAAATTCTTCTATTAGAAGCAAGTATATTAAACTTACACTAGCATTATGAACATCTTTGAAAACTCTGTATGGTGATAATAATGTAACTGATGGACAGGACAAATGCTTTGCTTGAATGGCATGTGATGATACAGATTCAACTTCAAACCCATTTGTCCCCTGTATAATGGGTATTCCATTAAGCTTGTGTGATGTGCATTGTAAATGACCATGTACACTAGGACCATCTAAAGAAATACAAAAAATCAAATTTTATGTTTGTATAATATTTTTCTTAAAAAAATTATTAATGTTTATTAGATAGTAAGGTATAGAATAAAATATAATGTATGGTTTAAAATGCAATAAATCAGTATTATATTTACTTCTCGGCTTGACAGATATCCAAACACGATTTTCAACAGATCTAAAAATTAAAAGCATAACCAATAACCAAAGCTATTACAAACACATATTGAATTAAAAAATTCACCTGATGCATTCATCCCAATCATGTTGAATATACATAGAGTACTCATTCATAATTGAGCAATGTTTTGATAATTTTCTGAAACAAAAATTCTATTTTGATTGTATAATTGATTATTGAAACACGAAACGACCAAGTTGTTTAAAAAGATAAATGAAAAATACCACATAAAGTTTATAGTAAAATAGTATACACAAATCATATTAATCAGTTCAGACAAATATTATTTATTTAAAATAATTTCATAAAAAAATATTATTCTAAGAGCAAAAAAATATAAAAAACAAGTGTTAGCAAAAAATTGATTTTCATACATCTACATAATAAGTAAGTAATCACCCAAAGAAATTATGTTCATATTGTAAAATTTACGTTATACAGTATTTATAACTTTGTRCCGTTAAATATAATATTATAACATTGTACTTAAAACTAAATTTATTATAGTTAGCGAAATATTACCTAAAGAAAGATTWCTATGAGCAGTGAATTCAGAGTCAACTCAACTTTTCAAAGATTTCTAACAAATTTATGTAACGTGACGGCCGAGTTTTTGATGAAACAAATAAGAAATAACCATAATAACTATAATAATAAAGTAATAAGTAATAATCACGATTAAAGATAGTCTATCCCGTGGTAATAATCAATCAGCAATAACATTGTCATTTGTCAATTTCCGTTTAAAAATTAATATTTTTATCGATATTGTTATTGTTGTTAACTGCATATCAGATATTTTACTGATAACTGATAAGAAAATTATCATACTAGACCTATAAATATATTTATATCTCAAATCTCAATGTAATTCATACATTTTTCAATAGTTTGTTTTTATTAACTCGACAATATGATATATTTTAGCATGATAAATTTATTAATTTTTTCATGTATTTTAGTTTAGACAATATTATATTGTATAATAATATTATATGCATTCATATTTCATACTTTCATAATTAATTTAAATAATGACTTAGTAAGGATTAAGGCGGTGGGTTCAACCCACTGAGTTGTGAAGTTTAAATGTCAAATATCATGACTTGTAATGAATACTAGGGGACGTCAAATCTGGCAAACACACGTGTGTTGTTCATGTCATGACAAAATAAATTTATTTTGTAATGGTCCATGTCTTACTAACGCATTAGGAGGTATTAGGTATATTATATTAAATTTTACGTGCAGCAGTTCCAATTTTGTGTTTGTTAGCTAAATACATCAGTGTATCATTGACCTATTATAATATAGTCGTTGGTTTTTATATTTTAATTTTAATTGAATTATGACCATGTAAGGTATTGGTAATATGTATGTATTTTTATTTATTATTCACTTAAAAATTAAAACATCAAACAAAACCAACGAGAAAACCTAGATAATGTTCTTATATTTAAGTTAGGTCAATTCATTTTAATATTTAACCTAACGATAGTAATACAACACAAAATTTTAACTAATGGACATTCATAATGACATATTATTATGCGCTAGTAAGACGGAAACAACACGATACACAGGTACTATTTCTTCTCAAAGATCAACATCTTATGACTTAACTACATATTACAACAGTCAAAACTCATAAACACTAATTTTAAATGGTTCAATATTATTAAGTTATACAGATATATGACAAATTGCATTCTTGACAAGCAAATATTAAATATGTAATTAAAATCAACAATTTTTAATTAACTCTTTGATAGTTATGTATGTTAAGGTAAATTATTAATTTAATCCTGAAAGTGAATT